AGCCTCCCAGATCTCCAGATGGACTGGAAATATCAAAAAAGTACTCCAGAGTGTTGTTCAGCATGGGGGGGGGGGAGTAGAAAATGAAGGCTAATCATGTTTTGGGTGTACTCTATATAAGCTACTGGAACCAGAATTTCCCTTAAGGAGTCCAAAGAGATAAAGTTGAGTCTAATTTGAATTTACCTCCCATAATACAAATGCCTGCACTTCCAAAATATTTAAATTCTTACATAAAAATCTTCAAATTTAAACCCATTTAAAATTTACATATAAATTTATGAAACAAGCACTTTGTCTAAATTGTCATAGAACAGGGTTTATACATGAATGAGTAACTTTTATTTAATGCTTTTTAATGCTCTTAGAAATAATCTTGATAACAAATACCCATGAGATATGTGTGTATATATATATATATATATATATATATGACCGCAAAATCCTTCATCTTCACCGTGGACAGGCTGCAGCCATGTCCCGAGTTCGTTTTCCCGCCACTTAGGTTCAAATTTGCATTATCCCCCCCCATTCTCTAGCCTTTTCTCCGCCTCAAGCTTCTTTTCTGAATCATTTTAATGCCACCATTTTCAAATTTAGTGAATTTTAATGCCAATTAAGGCCTTAACTTAAAAAATAATCATTTAATGACTTTTAATGACCAGCAGAAACCCTGTAGAATTTAGTGATTTTGAACTATTTGAAGCCACGTTGCCTGAATCCACTTGATGCCCATCTCCAGTGGTCATTTACACCCAAGACAAAGAAACTTAAAACCACCACATTGATCTCAGAAAATTTTTGATTAACCAGATAACCAGTGCGGTTTTAAGATTGAATTCAAGTTGGAGTACCCAGAGAGTACCTACGTGTCTACACATGGCAGTTGTGCTACCAAAACATTAGCTGAAGTCGTTGCTTGTCAAACAAAAAAAGACCATTTGTACTATAAACTCTTTTCTTTGCCCATAATTTAAGCTGGCTTCCAAAAATTTTAAACATTAGTTACCCAAAGAGTAGGACACAGATAGAAATCAAAAACTTTATTACAAAAATAAGTTACACTCACCTCCATTTTACAGTATAAAACAATTTATTTGCAGGAATGCAAAAAATGTTGTTGGCCACCAACAATAGTTTAAAACTGCTAACATTTTTTTTTTCCAAAAGGTGGTTGTTATGCTTTTTTTACTGAGGGAGTTAACTGTATAGAAAACTGGGATTGACAAACAGTTTCCTTTATGCTATTACTTGGAAACGATTAATTCACTGCAGTATCCCTTCTACCACTGCGGGTCTGCGATCCCTTCCAGTCATGACAGCTGAAGAAGTTAGGCACACATGCTCATCGACTGGAAAATATGGCAATTCAGTCATCCTTCCGAACCAACCCTCGAGATCTTCTACACGGATGCCGTCTTATGACGTAGGAAGGGACCAGTCAGGGTGATCATGATTTAACAAGATGGTTTTCACTCCGTTTGTTGACATTATTCTGATGTTTGAAAATGTATTTCATGAATATAAAAAACCAACCCTGCAAGATAAAACAGTGGCACAAAAGGGAAACTGCAGGGCCTTATTTTTGTATTTTTTTTTTCCTGATCAAAGGCATATGGATGCCTTTGACGCTTAGCCTTTACAAAAACGTAACATTTTCCGAAAAACTATACAACCAGTAACTACATACTCTGAAGAAGCAAGGCAGCTAATTCAGTTCAAAATAGGATAAAAGCAGGGCTCGTTCAGACTCATCATATGAGATTGTTTTGCATGCCCAGCTTGACTGTTTACAGCCTGCAGAGCTGCAGCTAAAAGGAGTAGATTAAATTAAGTACGTCGTTTTAGGGCTGCAGCTCTAGTGCATATTTTGTTGGAAAACAAGCCCTGCTTTCATCTATATAGTTTCCCTATTTACAGTACAGGCCGGGTAGTTTAGTCCTCTGTACTGAGGTAGTCAACCAACCCTTAAAGACCAGTTCTGAAAAGAACCACTTTCCTGGAATGCCTGACCTATCCATGCCAGGTGGGTACACCCTAAAACCCTGCAAATGTTCTATTTCAAACATCCAGATCAAACAATAACAAGAATATTTCCACAATAAAAATTGCGATTAGCACAAAAATATACAATAGTATCAAGCTCCTTTGAGCCACTTCAAACCTAACAACTTAAAAAGTGCAATTTCTTCAATAATTATTTTTTTCTTTTAATGGCATGTTTAGGGACAGGGAAGGGGTAGATTGTAAGGGCAATTCATCCAGCCCTGAGAACCAGGGCAAAAAAAAAAGAAAAAAAAAAAGGGAGTCCTAACAAAAAGGCTTTGATGGGTATATTCAGAGTATTCTGATTATTATCTTGTTTTTTTTTTTTTTTTTTTTTTTTTTTTTTGCTTTTTTAAGGGTGGCAGTTCATGGAGACACGGAGCAGTAATAAAAATGGGTGGAGGGGAGATGTTTCTTCTTCTGTAAGGCTGGAATTTCACTGAACCTTTTTCTTGCTGTTGTCTTTCAACATCCATTGCAGCTTATGGTGTAAACCCACACATCGAGTCAGTCTTCACTGTGACAGGTCAGGAACGCCCTCGGCCCCGCTTCCCCGCTGGAATTAAAAAAATAATAAGTCAGACAAAACACTTTATTTTTCTCAATTAATAGTCTTATTTCGCCACAGATGATGTCAGGGGGACTAATCATTTTTAATGATTTTCCGGGAGAAACCTACATGAACCCTTATGATCAAAATACCTAAAATCAAATATTAGGAGTTTTGAGGCTTTCCATTATCTCTCTGTGCAATGCAGAGATGCTAATAGGGGTTCTTATAACGTATAGAATAAATTTCAATAATCTTATCTTGCCTTCCTATAAAAAATAAAATCCTGATGTTATCCATAAAGCTTTCCTGTTGTCTTCTATTCGCTTAGACTCACTTTAACATTTTTAACTGAGTTTAAAGTTTGTCTAAACAGTAATTAGTCTCATTTTAATAATAAAAAGCCTACAGGGAAGCTCTCCAGATGGACCAAACAGGTCTTAAAAAGCCAAGTTAAAGCTTTTTCAGGGTTCTTCTTTTAAACAACTTGTCATCATTGTGATTATTCCTTATTTAAATTAATTACACACCAAGGAGTTTTCTTTAATTTTGCACTTTATTTGTTTAAGCGAGTCAGAGAATTAAAATTTTATCAGTCTCCTGTAGTGCTTCATTAAAAGGTCATCTATCCAAATGACAGATGTTTCTGTGAAATATTTTCCATGTTTAAAATTCCAGCTATAGATTTTATCACAGAGATGTTCTATATATAATAGATTGGAAAACATTCGTACCATTTCAAACCTCTGGTTTACCTCTGATTGTTCCGAGGCCTCCGCGCTGAGTGAAGCCCACTCGGCCCCTCGGTGTGATTACACCGCGGCCTCTGGTCTGACTGGCACCTCCACGGACTCCTCTGGCCCCTCGTCCTCGCAGAGACCCTTGGAAGTCGTCATAACCATAACCGTAGGGGTCCTCGTAGCCCCCCCGGTAGTTGTGGTAATCATATCCATAGTAATCGTAATAGTCTTCATAGCCGTAGTAATCATAGGAATAACCGCCCCTTCCACCTCTTCCTCGGCCTCTTGTGGGTGGCGGCATGTGAGGAGGCCCATAATAGTAGTATTCATCATACCTAGAAAGAAATGTATAGATTCCAACTTAGAGTGATGATTTAGTGATTTATATTAATTTTGTATGAAGCAGTTTAGAGGGAATAAAACTGCCTCTCACTTGATCTGTTAATTACATGTTGCCAAACCTAGCCTGAGTAGCTTTGTTCCTGCTTACATTTGTGTTTTGGCAGCTTGTCTCTGGGCTTTGCGTTCTTTCCTCTTCTGGTCAGGGGGCTTGGCAAAGACTATTTCAATGTGCTCTCCTTCCAGTTCTTTACCATTGAGCTCAGTTAAAGCCTACAAAAGCAAAAATACTTTATTTTTTAAAAACATCCTGTGGCGACATGTCAAATACATGAATAATTGTAGAATTCTTTCAAACCTTCAAAGCACCGTCTCTTTCTTCAAAGTGGATGAAGGCGTAGTCTTTCAATTTTTTCACTCTCTCCAGCTTCCCAAACTGACTAAATGTTTTCTCAAGCGCCTCCTCTGTAACAGTGGTAGCTAGATTCCTCACGAAAAGCACCTTGACCTAAAGAAATACGGGTTTATTTCAATTTAACAGAAGATGGGCCACTTCAAATCCAAGAGACAATATAAACTTCAATATGGCCGTTTCCTTCTTTAGATCAGAGGCTACGTTACTTACCTTAGCCATGACTTCAGGGTCTGGGTCCTCAATGGGATCGGCCCATTCCACCGTAACCACGTTTCCCCACACCTTGACCTTTCCGCTCATGAGTCTGCGCCGAGCCTGAGCTGCCGTCTTGTGGTCTTCATACTCCAGGAAGCAAAAGCCTCGGTTCTTCTTCTTGTCATCTGGCTGGTGGTATAATATGACATCATTTAGACCTTCTGTAGAGACAAAAACAAAGAAGAGAAAAGCTGTGAGTATTTTCCCCCACACACACACAATTTATTACACATCAAGTCAACAACAGATGAACATTTTCCAACATTTTTAATGGTAGATTATAATTCAAGGTTTAATTTTTCATTAAAAATGAAAATCACTTAAAATATCCAAGACTGAAAGTCAAAATTAACACAAAGGAAAGCCAGGTAAGACAGCTTTGGTGTTTTGTTTTGTACATATCAGACTTCACCAAGTTCATTAAGGGCCTACCGCAGCTTTATTGATTGACTTTATTGATCTCTACCAATTATTTATAAATGAAACTTCGATTTACAAAGAGCACACTGCTCTGGTATCCCATCTTTAATTTAGCCGTTTTTGCCACCTAGAGAGAACATATCCCTCTACTTAATGACATGTTGTGCTTTTTTTAGGCTTTTAAAGGCCAATTAGTTGCTGTGAAGGGCTTTATTTGACCTAAAGGGCCACAAGTTTGATATATGTGCTGTAAAAGCTGCACTCACTAAACGTAAAAAAAAAAACTGAAAAAGGGCTGACAAGTCAGAGACTCACCTGTAACTTTAGCAAATTCTTCGACAATCTGCTCTTTTGTTTTACTCTTGGGGATGGAGCCAACAAAGAGTCTATTATTGGCCACAGAAATGCATACGCCGATGTGTTTACCCGGTCGAATTTCATTGTTGTTGCACTGTGGATATTTGAAGAACAGTTTTAGATTAAAATCTCAAATAAAATGAAAAAGTCAAAACTATTTTTCCATCTTATATCAGCATCCATCCTCTACATGTAGAAGTAAAATACTAGCGTAGCAAATGCTACACCAGGTTCCCTCCGTCAGTGTAAAAAAGCTTCATAATTGCAGTGAAGCATGCATACCAATTTGACAGCTTGTTGTGCAGACTCTTTTGTGCAGTAAGTCACAAAAGCATAGCCTCTGTTGAGACCACTTAGAGGATCCATCATCAGGCGGAGGTCCCAGATGGTGCCGGCTTTCTCAAACAGCGGAACCAGCTCATCCTCAAACAGGTCTCTGGGAATCTTCCCAACAAATATCTGTAAGGTAGATAAAAAAATAAAAATAATAATCATGAAAATTGTTTAAAAAATGTGAAGAAACAAAGCAATGGGTGAAACTTGGGGGAAGGTGTCTCGTCAGCTCTTAGCGGTAAGCTATCACTGTAACCTTGGTTACTACAGCAGACAACAAAGCTTCATCATTTGGACACCAAGACCTTAAGCAACATTAGATAAGCCTTAAAAAGAAGGAACCAACAAAGCAGTAAAGTGAAGTGAGGGTTGCATACCTCTGTACCGATGGTGGGTTGTGTTCCAGAATGGGCAGCCTCTGGTGGAGGTCCCCCATACTTCCTTTGTCCCGTTGTCACATCAAGCGTGTAGCCAGTTCGATCCAGCAGAGCCTAAAACCAAAGAACAAAACTCAGCTTTAATAATAACTTCATACATGTGAAATAAAAATGTAAAAATTCTATTTATCGTTGTAAGATAAAAATTAAACACCATATAGCTGTTAGCCACTGTTAAAAGCAGACAAACTCCTCCACAAATTAATAATTTGGATGGTTTCTCACTTTGATTTTGGCTTCATCTGGTCCTTTGTTGGTGTCCGACACTTTGGTCCCTTGTTTCTCTCTTTGTCTGTATGTCTTCATCACGCCACAAAGAAAGGCACTTTTGTTCTGTAAAAAATACAAAAGAAAAAAAAAAACAACTCAGAATGAAGAGATTGCAGATCACATCAGCCAATGTCATCAAAACCTCATTCAATGCAACTGTTATGGTTAACATTCATAGAATATATATTCTAGATTGGATATTTTAATGATAAAACAGTGAAACTTGTGCAACAGATGTGCATAAAGAAACCCACTTCTCTTTCATGATAATTCAGTTATTAGTAAGGCATACCTGAACATGTGAGAGGTCGCTGTCCTTGAATTGTAAAAGGACTTGGAGAGCACCTTCTTCGTTGAACTCTTTCAGAGCCTCGATTGCTCGGTCATCTAAATCACTGTGTGACACCAAACCTGCAGGATGGGCGAAAGAGAAAAGTGCTACCAAAAACGTGAAACATATGAAAAGAACGCTGTGTGCAAAGTTTTTCCACATCAGCTCCTGAGAAGCATTCAAGTAAATAATTACTTTAACTTAAAGGGGATTTGAAGTGGTGGACAAGCCTGCATTTATGTTGTAATCATCACAGTTCATAAGAAATAATCACAACACATGCAAAGTGCATTCCAGTACCACCCTGATTCCAAATTCAGCCCCATCTGGCCAAGACCAGCGGTTTCTTTCTAGATATGACAATTCCCTCCCCTAAACAAAATTGTCTGAAGTAAAAGTGGCCCAAAAAAGTTCAACGTAGAAACTTAATTGCCAGTCCGGGTGAGGTCATCCAAAAACTTGGGAGAAAAAGATCAAGGCGCCATGTTGGGGATATCCAATCACACAGATGGTGTATAATTAAATATTTTGAAGCACTGCAGTACCCATTTTGGTTGGAAACCACAAAAAGTTGCTTCAGGATCCCAATTCCCCATCCCCCACTCAGAAAGGTGATAAAATAACAGCACATGCATGAATTTATACAAAGAATTGCATATTAAATATGCAAGTGTATTCATAATGCCTTACCTGCTATGTAAATTTCATCTAGTTTTTCAGCAACTTTCTGTGGTAAACCAGCTTCTAATAAAGTCTGGAAGTGCTCAGAATGGGTAACTGCAGCAGAGGTGTCCATTGGCTCTTCTGGACCATTTCCATTTATATGTTCTGTGGCCATGTCTCCAGAAATCTGTATAAATGCAATGAGCCAAATTAATCCTGGGTCAAGGGCAAGACTTTGGATGTGTTAAAGCCTCAGATTTGTCAGCAATGTCATCTTAGAAACACACGAATACAAACAAATGATGTCATCCTCGGATATGGAAAAAATGTACAAGTGTGTCCAATATATAAATGGGACAGTGCATTGTGAAAGAAGCTGCGGTTTTTGCAATCCTTTAGTGGCAACAAACTTTACATCTTGATATTATAATGGCAGCTTCCAGCTTGGAAGGAGCCCCAAATCATTAAGGCAAGACAGACAATACATGTCATTTTATTTAAACAAAAAACTTAAAACAAATAAAACAAAAACACTGGTAGTTTTAAGGTTGGTTTAAAAGAAAATGGTGGAGGAGCTTTGTTATTAGCTTAAAATAAAAAAATCAGACATTAAAGTTTTACCATCTTAGCTTCTTACATCCAGAATTGCTGCTAAACTAACAGTTAACCACCTTCTCACCACTTCCTTCAGCTGATAAACGCGTTCAGACAAGATGCCCTGGCTTCCGGTTGCTGACCATTAAGAAAAAATGTCTTAATGTGTTTGGGGCACACCGTGAATGCTTAAAATGTACCTAAATGAAGCTTATTTTACGGTAGTAAACGGATAACCCTTTCAGATAAGATCAAACTGCCCCCTTCACATTTCAGCAGCAAGCTAAGCTAATTCTTTTCGGGGCTAAGCTTTTTCTCTGCTAGTACTAGCTTGAAATCTAATTACTTCAAACGTCTGCTGGTCAGTCTCCCAAACACGTGTTGTCTGTGGTTAAAACATTACTGCTGAAGAAAAGTGTACGTTTTATTCTACAAATACAACAAAGTCAACAAATTTCAAAGCGCAAATTGCACGGTTTATTTTATATTTTTCTGGTTTATTTCCGTTTGAGGTTATGATGTTATGACACATACGATACCGTTAGCAGGCTAGCCGGCTAGCGCGCAAAGCTAACTCCGGAGCATTTCTGGGACAATAACACGGCGCTCGTGTCTGCTTTTTCAGCGGAAAGTGCGGCTGCTGATTAAATAAACCTAATACATCGGTAAAAGTACAATTGTAAGGCAGTTTTTAATATATTTTGTACACATATCGGGCTTCCTTATTGAGCTATATTAGCATAAATTGACAATGAGCATGTCAGATCCATGATCTGTCAAAATGAGCTAGCTGACGCTAGCATGCTAACTCGCACGGTGTGTGAGGCCATTGTTAGAGCGTCATTTCTGGGTACAAACTTACTAAATAATAAAGCAAGCTTTTTACATTTAAAGTGTTTTAACGGGACCTTAAAGGCTAAGCGTTTAGCTCATCGGATGCGTGGTTAGTCAACGTGCCGCCACATAGGAAGAGTCCATTTTCAAAAAGCCGGTCTGGACAACTCGTTCCCAACCACCACCAGTTTCCACATTGTTTGAAACAGCGCCGCACGATTCGGGGGGTTTAGCACTAAATAAAACATCGCTGACAAGACAGTTGAGAAGCATTCGCCCTACCTGCCACTGGCACACCAATGTGTGTGGTGCTGATTGTATAGGAAGATAAAAGTGATATTTAAAAGACGGAAAAAGTGTAAAACTCCCGGCACTGATCCGACTTCAGTCATTCACTCTTGATGATGTAAAATGGCTGCCACGTTCACGCCTCGAGTTTTGTCTCGTCGATGGGGTTTCTTGGACAGCCCTGCACGGGCTTGCCTTGTAGAGCGGCGGGTCATCCGCAGCCTCATCCAACACAATTACCGCGTGGACAGCAGACACGTTCCCTCCAAACAACAGCGCATTCAGACATGTTGTTCTATTACTGAGCAGACCTGCTACAGTTAAACAAAAAAATAAACACAAACGGATTAACTATTGACATCAAATAAAGAATTGAAATTGGAAAAATGAACGAAACGAGAAAAAGGTTCCCCTGTCTAACATCCCCACCCACCAAAGGAAACAAAACAAAGAACTGAGGACTAAACTTAAAATAAGGAATTTTAAGGCATATTTTACATGTTACCGTACTCTGCCAAAAAATAAAAAAAATTAAATCATACCTTCATATTCATTCCCACTAATCTCATGATCATAATCTTTAAAATAATTTTGCCAGGATTTTGCAGTAACCAGCATAGACAATGACATAAATAAGAACAAACAAAGAAGGTTAAGATTTTTTAATATGTGTGGTGTAGACGTACGGAAGAGAATTAGGGCCACTGAAACAATAAAAAATAAGTAAACAGATTTTTAAATATTATTTCAGTTATGAGAAATAAAAACTTTAACCTGACTCTATTCTCAGAATTCTCACGTTATTCTTAGAATTTAGACTTTTTTTCTCAAAATTTTGACTTTAAAGCTACAGTGTGTAATAATTAGAAACGGGCACATGACGTCACACGTTGCGCGGCAGCCATATTGAAAGCTGGTCAGCCCATTGTTTACACTTCGACTTTGCGCCTGTAAGGACTTGCTTTCTTCTGCTAGTAGTTTGCTTAGTTTTTTGCCGTTTCATTTTACCTCTGCTGTCGTTATGGTCACCCGTTGCTGTGTCGT